AAATCAAAATTCACTTTTTATCTTTGGCGACCAAACTTTTGGTCGGAAAAAATTCAATTTCGGCGACTAAAAAATATTTTTGTCGCTGTATAGATAGTTTTGGCAACTAAAATAATTTAGTCGCTGAATGAAAAATAAAAATTTATTTTTTATCTTTTGGCGACCAAAAGTTTGGTCGGCAAAAATATAATTTCAGCGACTAAAAAATATTTTAGTCGCGGTATAGATAGTTTTGGCGACTAAAATAATTTAGTCGCAGAATGAAAAATAAAAATTTATATTTTATCTTTGACAACCAAAAGTTTGGTCGGCAAAAATATAATTTCAGCGACTAAAAAATATTTTGGTCATTGTATATATAGTTTTGGCGACTAAAATAATTTAGTCGCTGAATGAAAAATAAAAATTTATTTTTTATCTTTGGCGACCAAAATTTTGGTTGGCAAAAATATAATTTCAGCAACTAAAAAATATTTTGGTCGCTGTATATATAGTTTTGGCAACTAAAGTAATTTAGTCGCTAAATGAAAAATAAAAATTTATTTTTTATCTTTGGCGACCAAAATTTTAGTCGGCAAAAATATAATTCCAGCAACTAAAAAATATTTTGGTCGCTCTATATATAGTTTTGGCAACTAAAATAATTTAGTCGTTGAATGAAAAATCAAAATTCACTTTTTATCTTTGGCGACCAAACTTTTGGTCGGCAAAAATTCAATTTTAGCGACTAAAAAATATTTTTGTCGCTATATAGATAGTTTTGGCAACTAAAATAATTTAGTCGCTGAATGAAAAATAAAGATTTATTTTTTATCTTTGGCGACCAAAATTGTGGTCGGCAAAAATATAATTTCAGCGACTAAAAAATATTTTGGTCGTTGTATAGATAGTTTTGGCAACTAAAATAATTTAGTCTCTGAATGAAAAATAAAAATTTATTTTTTATCTTTTGGCGACCAAAAGTTTGGTCGGCAAAAATATAATTTCAGCGACTAAAAAATATTTTGGTCACTGTATATATAGTTTTGGCGACAAAAATAATTTAGTTGCTGAATGAAAAATAAAAATTTACTTTTTATCTTTGGTGACCAAAATTTTGGTCGGCAAAAATATAATTTCAGCGACTAAAAAATATTTTGGTCGCTATATATAGTTTTGGCAATTAAAATAATTTAGTCGCTGAATGAAAAATCAAAATTCACTTTTTATCCGAGGACTCCCCCTTCAGGAACACCGACGTCCTCGCCCTGCCATTCCCCCCAACTCCAAGCCAATCCGACGAGGATTTTGAGTTCAAGGAGGAAGCTTTAGTGAGAAAGTCAAAGGAAGCTGCTGGGGCAAAGTCCCCTACTCAAAATGAGCAAGTCCTAGACTTGACTCAAGATGAGGAGGGTGAGGAGGTTCCCAAAGATGCTACTCCCGAGAAGGCAACGTTAGACGAGCCTATTGCTGATAAGAGCCTTGACAAAACCCTTGAAGAAATAGATGCCGAGCTTGCGGCTGAGAAGGCCGCCGAGATGTCTTCTCAGCAGTCCTCCGAGCTCCAGACCCAACCTGCCAGTGGCGCCGAAGAATCTTAGTTTTATGATTTTCTCTCCTTTCTGTACCTTGTATTTTTTCTTTCTTTGAAACAATGCAAGCTCTTGATGTGGCCGATGTGCCTTCTTTTGAACATTAATACAACTTTTTCTCCTAAATGTTTGTATCTTTGTCCTCCTTTTACTTGTCTTGTATGTTTCTACACTTAGAATAATTTTGCATGCTTTCAAGCATACACCTTATCTGTGTAATTTCCTCGAGTTAATATACCTCGGTAAGTACATAAGTACTTCTCTTAATGCAACCTTGGTTTTAACTTGTAAATTTTTCATAAATTTTCAACAAGTGTTCAGTTCAACTTCAACTTGTAAATTTTTCTCAAATTTCAACAAGTGCTAAGCGTGATCTCGGTTTAACTTCAACTTGTAAATTTTTCACAAATTTTTAACAAGTGTTAAACATGATCTCGGTTTAACTTCAACTTGTAAATTTTTCACAAATTTCAACAAGTGATAAACATGATCTCGGTTTAACTTCAACTTGTAAATTTTTCACAAATTTCAACAAGTGTTAAACATGATCTCGGCTTGTATATTCTACTTTGCCTGGAACCATTTTCCAACTTTCTGTCCCCTAATTTGAACTTAAGTTCCACTTGGGTTCTCGTTATGCATGTATTCTAGAAACATCATCAACTATCTTATCAGTCACAAGTGTGAAAAATCAAGCTTTATTTATTACTTCGGCTAATAACAAAGAACAAGAAAATTTAATGATAAAAAAACTTAAGATTGCAAGTATTCCAGGGCCTTGGTAACTCTTTGCCCTCATTATCTTCAAGCTGATATGGCCCATTGCCTAATACTGAGATGATTCTATAGGGTCCCTCCCAATTTGGGCCAAGCTTGCCCTCTCTAGGATCCTTCTTGTTGCCGACGACTTTTCTCAAGACAAGGTCACCGACTTGAAACTCCCTTGGGTTGACCTTCTTATTATAAGCCCTGGCAAGCTGCTGCTAGTATGCTGCCAGCTGAATTGCAGCTCTCTCCCTTCTTTCTTCTAGCAGATCTAGATCTCAGGCTAATAATACATCATTAGTCCCATTTTCTACTCCCTAGGTTCTGATTCCTGGGATGCTGACTTCTAGAGGAATGACTACTTCTGTGCCATAAGCTATGGCAAATGGGGATTCCCCAGTAGATCTTCTCGGCGTAGTCCGATATGCCCAGAGTACACTTGGCAATTCATCTACCCACTTTCCCTTTGCTGCTTGCAGCCCCTTCTTAATCCCATCCAAGATGACTTTGTTGGATGCTTCTGCTTGTCCATTGCTTTGAGGAAAACTTGGGGTGGAGAAATAATTCTTGATTTTAAACTTTGCACAAAAGCTCTTGATTAGCTTACTGTCAAACTGTGTTCCATTGTCTGCAATTAGTGCTCTTGGGATCCCAAACTTGGTGATGATGTTCTTCCATATAAAGTTCTTCACATCCACGTCTCGGATCTTGGCGAAGGGTTCAACTTCTATCCACTTGGTGAAGTAATCTGTTGCTACCAGCAAGTACTTCCTTTGCCCAATTGCTTGGGGCAGCTTTTCAACAAGATCCATGCCCCATTGGGCGAACGGCTAAGGACTGGATACTGGGTTCAAGTCTGCTGCTGGTTAGTGTATCAGTGGTGCAAACCTTTGGCACTTTTCACACTTCTTGATATAGGCTTATGCATCTTTTTGCATGTAGGGCCACCAATACCCTTGGATAATGGCCCTATGCGCAAGTGATCTGCCCCCAGCGTGGCTTTCACATATTCCTTCATGTATTTCGTACAAAAAATCTTCAACTTGTGAAGGATGTACACACCTCAAAAGGGGTCTAGTGAAGGATCTTCTGTAGAGATGTCCTTCCGCTGTTAGACTAAATCTTGTCGATTTCAATCTGATCTTGTGTGCCTCTTTGTGATCATTTGGCAATTTTCCTTCTTTCAGAAATGTTATTATTGTGTCCATCTAGCTTAGTCCTATGTCCACACACATTGCTTCACGCTCTGTGGTCAGTGGTTCGATGCTCGGGCCCGACAAGTAGTCTACCATTATCGTCTTTGCCTTTCCAGGTTGTATTGCACTAGCCAACTTGGCCAAGGCATCGGCGTGACTGTTATCATCTCGGCTAACCTGCTGTAGTCGGCAATTCTGAAACAAGGCCACCAATCTGTCGACTTCCTTTGTGTATGCCGACATACATTCATCTTGGGTTGCGAACTCGCTTGTTGTCTGGTTGACTATAAGCTGAGAGTCATAAAAGACTATCACCTCATCTGCTTCTACTAGATGACTGCTAGAATGATTTACCTTTTAAATTGATCAACATTAGTGATTAGTGTAATATGGAAGTGTGATATTAGTATAAGAAAATGTTGGAGTGAGAAAGAGTTCAACTTCTAGCAATCCAATCTTCATTACAGCAGCCTTTAAAACTTAATTGATTTCAAAGTGACAAAATCAATCATCTGAAAAATTGAATAAATAGAGAAAAGCCAGCTATCGAAATTGAACATCTCTTTCTTCTATCGAAATAATAACGATATAATGTTATAAAATAATCTGGCAAGATGATAAATGATATTTGGATCAATGAAATATATGAATAGGAAGTTTACAGTCATAAATAAAGATATGGCAAATAAATTAATTAGACTATTGTCTTAAAGAAAATAAATAACAAGGAAAGTAGACATAAAAACATGGAGAAGAATCTTCAAATTAAAAACTATATATTTATTCTAGGTGCACTAGACTCTCACCACTACGAAGTTTGATAAGAGTTAGATATTCGTAGTCTTACCCTAGCATGTAGAGATGTTTTTGTGGTTTTAACACCTAATGCCCAGGCATTCTAGATCTGCTCCAAGATTTCTTCAAGGCAAGCAATTTAATGTAGAGTATTTTATGAATATTCTATCAAGAGGTACCTAGGGTTTCCATGGACAATTTACTAAACAAAGATAGGAAACCAATTATCAGGATACATAAACATGGACCATTTATGCTATTGTTTTTCGTAGGTTCGAGCTAAACACAAGGAAGTTTGTCTTCATAAACATAGTCCCTTAGGAGAAACAATCCTTGTATGTTACAATTGTGGTTGTCGAAATGTTTTCCTTCTTGGATTCATCTCTGCCAAGACAGAGAGTGTTGTCGTTCTTTTGGGCAGAAAGCCTTGTCTCAGTGTCAATGCATTGAAGGATATGAATTGGGACCTAAGTCAGTGGTGTCCCCTTATATATACTTTTTTCCCAAAGTTGCTAACCTTTTACACTTTGTTAAAGCTAAAAGTACACTTTATGTTGTAGGCAGATAATGAGTTGCGTCTTGTACCTAGTGATGAGTTGCGGCTACGCTATTTAGGAGATGCAACTCATGCGGCAGTCAGTAGGGCATGTGGTAAGCACTTTCTTTTAATATAATTTGTTATTTCTTTTGCTTGTCATCTTTAGTTTTTGATTTTGTTTTAATTTCTCTTGGTTAATTTTTCCATTGAGAAGTTTTCATATAAAATGTTGTCCTCACCCCACCTCGCCTCACCATTTGCTGTCCAAACACCGCCTACTGGTGTTTCAGCCTCAGCTGCGAAGAACAAGGGGATGGATAATTACAAACAGGGGAAGTATGCTGATGCCATAAAGTGGCTTTCTTGGGCTGTGATTCTTCTTGAGAAGACTTGTGATGGTGCTAACCCTTGTAAGTTTATTTGTGATTGGAAGTCAACTTGTCTGTAACCCTTTTGAGTGAAGTGTGGTTTTGAATGGTACGAAAGACAGACTTATGTCTCTGCTCTACTCGTTAATGTTCTTCTTACCTTTAAGTGGAGAAGAAGTAGAATGATATTTTTTTTCTTTGATGATATTATTATAATGGACGCTTGATGTTTTCAATTAAGTAAACTTATTTATGTGCACATGTTTGTAAGTCTGACTATGTTATCCTTTGTTATATTTACCGTTTTGTCTTTCGAGCAATTAATCCAATGCCTATAATGCAAAATCATGATTTATAGACCATTCATGAAGCATTCAGTAAAACCTCTTCAACACGGCTTATAATGTTATTAGAGGATTCACATAACCAGCATCCAGTAGATGTGATTTGAAGTCATATTGAGTGGATTTTCATATGGGCTGTGCTTGTATGTTTGTTAGGTAGACTGCTAATGTTTTTTGTCCCTATAACTCATGAACATGCATTCTGAAATTTATGGCAAAGAAGGGTTCATTGATTTGTGTAGAAAACCTATGTAATTGGGGTTTAAGGCTTGTGTTGGATGCCCACTACATGCATTAGTTTCTGAAACAATTAATGGGTCAGGACATTTTTAAATCCTGCCCCTACTGTGTGCCTCTAGTCTTCGAATAAATTACTAAGTGATGATTTAAAAATGGTCTTTGATATTCAGTTTAATTAAGCAATCTTAATAAAATTTGAAGCTTAAACAGATTGACCAAAAACATACATTGGATTTGCCCCCCTTTTCATTTTTGGTTCATGAATAATACTCATGATGTTGGCTAAGCTTTCATGTGTTATATCTATTCATGTATCTCCTTTTGATGGCTATATTTAAAATTTGTTAATTGCTCTTTGGTAGCCTTCGATTGTACAATCATAATTTACCCAAATTCATACAAATTTTTATGCTAAAATTGCTTGTATGAAGTGTACTATTCTTTGGTCTAATTTTTCTCCACCATTGTGTTGTAGGAACAAATCAACTTGGCTGATGTCAAGTACCCACTGGAGCATTTTAAGGTAGGTTAAAACCTGTTCATTTATTTGATACACAAATAGAATTTTAAACAGAATGACATTTGGTTTCTTTTTGGGTATCAGGGAGCCCTTTGTTTAAAGGAGTTCCTCTTTTTGATTTGAGACAGAATAATAGAACATGTAATCTTTCACTCATGTTCAATTATATATTTCAATTATATGCTGCAATGGTTCATCTACAAGACGTTATTGTTTCTTGCAGAACATCCTTGTTGTCTCAAAGTATTACTGAAGGATTATCTTGGCGAGACTTGCTGAGCTGCTTTGTCTCATTGTTTAGGTATGCCAATACTTAATTGTGGTATAGTCATCATCAAATGTTTGTAATGTAATCATATAAAGTTTTTGCCATATGGTTAATTTTTTTTTTATATGAATTGCCTTATGCTTTTGATGACTATCAGATAATGTGGAAAGACTCGATAGAACAGGGAATTGAATATTGAACTGAATTGTGAACTGTAAACTGTTGAATGAATTGAGAACACGTGTATTATGTCAGAAATTGCCTGCTTCGATGTTATTGTACTTTACAATCGGTATTGTGGGGATGTCTGGACTATGTGTATTGTGTGGGTAATTACTTCGATGTTACCTTTGTTGTTTCGGGAATCAGTATCTGGATCCATCTTATGTTCCTGAAGACTGCTAATTGACCTTGGATAATTGTGATGAGTCACTGGACTAAATACCGAATCAGATCGTGAATTGGGGAAATTATTGAAGAATGAATTGAACTTTTGTGACACAGAATAGACCGAACTTCTGTGATACAGTTAGCTGACATCTAAAATAAATTTGTTGGTGACCTACCATGAATGGGGCAATTAGTGAATTTGTGTTTGAATATTTTCGGTACCAACAGGTCGAAGTCGAATATCAGTGGTGGCAGAACTGCTTCAATCTCTCCATTTTGGAATGGGAATGGGAATATGTGGCTACGAATTTCGTTGTGGGGCTACCTTGAGCACCCAAGGTATAAGTCCCATTTGGGCTATTGTAGGTAAAATTATTGAAGTTGCCCATTTCTCCCTATAAAATTTTGTATGATGCTTGTAGACTAGCCACTGTTTACATCAATAAGGTTGCTTATTGTATAGGGTCCCAGTATCTATTGTTTAGACAGAAATCCTGAAATGTGTTTGAATTCTGTCAAGCCTTCAAAAGGCGATGAGAACTAAATTGGGATTCAGCGCTACTTTCCATCCACAAATCGATGTATAATCAGAAAGAGCTATTTAGACTCAGGGAGAAATGCTCCAAATGTGTATTTTAGATCTTCGGGGAATTGGAAAAAAAAAATCTATCCATCATTGGTAGACTTTGCTTACAACAACGGCTCACGCTCTAGTTTCGGTATAGCACCATACAAGCCTTGTATGGAAGAAAAGGTAAGTCCCTGATTGATTGAGATCTAGTTTTGGCATGGCACCGTACAAGCCCTGTATTGGGAAAAAGGTAAATCTATGACTGATTGAGAATAGAGCGTTGCTTGATTTTGAGACTAAGTGAATGACTGTTAAGAATGATTGGAACCATTGAATGAAAAGTGTTCCGAATTGTTTCGACTAAAGGTAAAATAAGTTTGGAGGACCAAACTTCCTAAAGGGGGGAAGACTGTAATACCCCTGTTCCGTATTATGCTAATTTATCCTCCTTATGCATGTGATTATGTGTTTGTTATGATTTTGAGTGCCATTTATATGAATATATGTGGTTTTGAATTTCTATCTGTTCACCGTAGGGATATCTGTTCAACTTACTATTATAAACTGAAAAATTGAGGGCCTTATCGGCCACAGAACCCGAAATTGATTACGCCATTGTGTTTGGCATAATTTTTAGAGCCTACGGTGAAATTTAATTGAAAAATTGATTTGGACCAGATTAAGTTGATTAAGTTGGTAAAATGGGTGCCCAATTTCTCTCTACTATTATATTGTGACTTAGTGGGGCTTGTTGTATATGAGCACTACTCAATTCAACTCCCTCTCTAATTCTCACTTGGCTGATATAAACTCTAAGGAGAGGAGAGGGCCGGCCATTAGAGAGAGAGAAGAGAGAAAAATCTGTGTTTGATCTTGAGGGCTTGGAATCTTGAAGTCCAACTCAAATTGGGCCATAGATTGAAGAATTGGACTTCTAGGTAAGCCATTGACTCTTGAAATTATGAATTGAACCTGTAATCTTGTGAGTTCAAGAGTTGTTTGTGATCAAGAGCATGTAATAAGTTGATTCTTGTTGAGTTTGAAGCCTTAGAACTCATGCATGTAAGAAATTACTTTGAATTTGCATGTTTGAGCTTGAAACACATGATTCATGTAGAGTGTTAGTTGAAACTCATGTTTTGATCACCATTTGTACCATTTAAGTTGAGAATGATGAGCATCTCCTACATGCATGTACAAATCATGGGAGTATAAGTCTTGAATGTTTGAATTTGAGCATGTTGATGATGGGTTTGAGATATTTTGGGACATGCATGTAGATAAATCATGAAATTGAGCTTCCTGATGTTGTAATCTTGTATTAGTAGCATGTTAGCAAGTGTAAATGCATAATTTGAGCCATTGCATGCAAGTAATATTGCTGGAAAACCGATTTGGAGCTCAAGAACACAATCTGGGAAAACCCAGAAATTTGATATCCGCTCGAGCGGGGAAACCGCCGGCCGAGCGTGAATTTCGTGCTCCCAGTATTTTCTGTAGATCATGATGTCTACTCGAGCGGGGAAGTTCACGCATGCAAGTAATGTTGCTGGAAAACTGATTTGGAGCTTAAGAACACGATCTGGGAAACCCAGAATTTTGATGTCCGCTCGAGCGGGGTAATGGCCGCTCGAGCGGGAAAATCGTGCTCCCAGCACTTTTGCAGAGTTGGATGTCCGCTCGAGCGGGATGCCTCACGCTCGAGCATGGAGTTTTGTAGGCAGGCCTTCAGCTCGAGCGCTCTATTCCACGCTCGAGCGCATTTTTCATGCAACCAGTACTTTTGCAGGCCTTAAGGGTCTGCTCGAGCGGGTAAGTACACGCTTGAGCGGGGACCCTGTTTTCTGAAATTTTGTTCATGCATCCTGTGTTTCGTTTTCCGTTCTCTTTCACTTGTAATCACTCTTAGGCATGTGTTAAGCGTTACAAATGAGTTAATGAGATAGGAATAAAGCCTAAAGAGGAATATGTGAATTAAGGAACGGATTGAATTGTTAATGACCCTTCTGTGTTCATGGAATGTGTAGGGTCAAGCTCCAGGGCGAATCCACAAGCCGATCACTGTGAGTAATATCGATATTCGAAAGCTTGTGAATGTCTATAAACTTTATGAGTTGTTAATTGGGATTGTGGACAAAAGTCTGACAGACACGAATGAATGGACCAAAGGTTGTTTTGATATAAATGAATGGACCGAAGGTCGTTTTGATGTGAATGAATGGACCGAAGGTCGTTTTGACATAAATGAGTGGACCAAAGGTCGTTTTGATATAAATGAATGGACCGAAGGTCGTTTAGATGTGAATGAATGGACCAAAGGTCGTCCTGATATAAATGAATGGACCAAAGGTCGTCCTGATGTAAATGAACGGACCAAAGGTCGTTTTGACACATGTGAGTGGGCCAAAGGCCGTTTTGACATGGACGAGTGGGCCAAAGGCCGTTTCGACATAAGTGAATGGGCCGAAGGCCGTTTTGCCATGAATGGAAACCCAAATGGGCCAAAGGCCAGAATGTTGGAACTACAGTTACTTGATTTGCATTTCGTATAGCCATATATATTTGCTAATTAGAAGTATGAATTGGGCCCAAGGCCGTTTGGAGCATGTTGTTCTACATATTGTTATGTAACTGTCATACTTGATATTATTCACTGGGCTATCGCTCACGCTCATTCATGTGTTTGTAGGTGAGGTAAGAGAAGCACAAACCCAGCCCCAGTGAAGTCTGCTAGGGACAACATGAGTTTTGGGAGAGTCAGCCTTGCGTCTCACTCTTGAGACCTACCCTTGCCTTTTCGCTATGTAATTATATTTTTGTCTTGCCGGCAAGGACTTTATGTATAGCTGTAAATAGTCTGTCATAGGTTGACTCGTTTTGGATGATCCTGTCTGTAATGAATTTTGTGAAACCGTACTTTTGATGTGGGTTATTAACGTATCTGAGTATGGTTTGTTTGATGTGCATATAAGCACGGCTCTATGGACAAAGTTTTAAATTTTTGCTTCCGTTTGGCCCTTTTACTCTGACGAGTTACGTCTGTTTCGGTCTGAGGCCGTAGGTAATCACAGGATTACTAGCCGGTCATGTCCTTAACCCATAGGGGCGGGTTCGGGTCGTGACAGAGTGGTATCAGAGCACGAGTTAATAACTCACACACTTGTCCAAAAAGAGCAATAAGCGTCTAGATAAGATCTAGGATGCATTCATGTGATAGATACGAGTTTGGAAGCATTGATTATATGCTTAAATGTTTTGTTAGGAATAATTATATGTGTAAGTTGCGAACTACTTGCATTGCAAATTGTCTGGAAATATGTGCTTCCTAGTGTGTGCATACTTGTGTACCTTTTGTATGAAATATAATGCAAGTTTAATCAGATGGTGAGAACCAGAGGTGATGAGTTAGAGGAATCCTCTACTGCCAGACTGGACAGAATGGAAAGACTGATCCAAGAGATGGCAGAAGCTTTGAGACAGCAGCAGGAGTGGCAACAACAGTGGCAGCAACCACACCCGCCACCTCCACCTCCGGCACCACCTGTGCCAGATAATCAAAATGATGATCGGATAATCGCTCTCACCAAGGAATTCAAGAAAATGAAACCACCCCAGTTCCATGGCGGACTAGATCCTTTGAAAGCTGAGGCTTGGGTTCTTGGGATCGAAAAACTGTTTGAGGTGTTTCCGTGCTCGGATACACAGAAAGTGCTTTTAGCCACTTTTGTGCTAGAAGATGAAGCGAGAAGATGGTAGATGTTGATGAGGGAAAACCACAGAGATGTTGATTGGGCGAAATTTTTGGAGATCTTCTATGACAAGTACTTCCCGCAGTGTGTCCGGGATAGGAAAGTGGCAGAGTTCATGGAACTCAAGCAAGACAGCATGACTGTAGCGGAGTATGAGGCCAAATTTACTGAGTTGGCCAGGTTTGCACCACACGTAATTGACACTGATTATAAGAAGGCAAGACATTTTGAAGGTGGACTCCGAAGTGACATCCTAGAGAGAGTGAATGTCCTGAAGTTGGAGACCTACATCGGGGTGCTTGACCGGGCCATCATATCAGAGGCTAACATAGCTAGACAAGCTAAGCCAACAACAGAATGGAAAGGCAACAAAAGACAAGGCTTCTTTTCGAAGAAGAAATT